TATATCTTACATTCATTCATTATTCTTTAAAATAATTGTGAAAAGCTCTCATAAGTTTATAAGTTTTCAATTGTATTCCTATCTACTTTTTAAGAGAGTTTTTTTTTTTGCAAAAAGCTTATCTTATTTTTTTAGAAATCTTAAAAAGGGATTTTTCAAGTATTTGTGACAACTTACTAGTTTGTAGCAAAGCTTGTTAAGTGAATCAAGACAAGTTTAATCTTGAGAGTTGTACTGTGGTGGCAAGCACCTATTGAAACTTGTGAACTTAGTTAAAAATCTCAAGTATGATCTTGACAACTGGATGTAGTCCAAATTTATTGCTGAACCAATATAAATCTCATGTGTCTTATCTTTTTCCTTCACTCTTTAGGTCTTCACTCTTTTCAATTTTTTAAAAGTTTTAAGTGCCATCCAATTCACCCCCTCTTAGGTGCCAGCATTTCCTAACATTTGGTATCAGGGTTTGGACTCTTGATAAAAAACTTAACAGTGTAAAAGGATCCTATGGCTAGTTTTAGTGACAATGTTTTCCCTAAAGGTGTTGAAATTAATAGGTGTATAGGATTCAACAGTAAAAACTATACTATTTGGAAAAGTAAGATGCGATTATTTTTTGAGGCCTTAAACCTTGATTTATAGGAGATTATCTAGAATAGTCCTTACATTCCATACAAAACTGTAGAAAGATAACTTATAAGAAAAAGAAAGGAGTGAATTTATAAAAAAGAAAGAAAAACTGGTACTGCTCAACTCCAAGGCTAAAAAAAATGAAGATATTTCCAAGTGAGTAATTTGAAAACTGCAAAAGAGATGTGGGATGCTCTTGAGATTGCTCATGAAGGCACTGAAGGAGTTAATGAGGACAAAATGAGTACTTTGACTTATAAATATGAGTTATTCAAAATGAAGCTTGGAGAAAGTATTAAAGATATGTAAGTCAGATACACACACACGATAAACGAGCTTGCAACACTTGGAAAAACATATACTTAGAAGAAGCAAGTCAGGAAAATCATGAGAGGTCTCACAGCTGAATGGCAACCTAAAATTATTGCCATTGAAAAAGTAAATAGTGACTCTATAAGATCTGTGGCAGTACTATTTGAAAGTCTTGTCGAGCATGAAAGAAGACTATCCATGCTGAAGGAAGATGCTGAAAAGAAGAAGAAGTCACTTGTTATAAAAGTGATAAAGGAAGAATCTAATTTTGAAGCCAGTGACAGTGAAGACTCTAATGAAGAAATGGCCATGTTTGTCAAGAAATTTGGCAAATTCTTTGAGAAAAAAAAGTTTAGGAAGAAATTCTCAAAGAAGAAAGAAAAGGAGATAATCTACTATAAGTGCAAGAAGCCTGAATGCATTAAGGCTGATTGCCCTCTGAAATAAGAGAGTAAAGGCTACAAGTATGATAAAAAGAAATTCAAATCTTATCTCTCTTCAATCTGGGGTGATAGTGATGAAGAGTCCACAGAAGAAGAAGAAGCAAATCTGTGTCTAATAGCTAAAAGCCATTTTGATCAGGTAAATGATTTAGATTCTGACTCTGAATTTGATTTTATATTTGAAGAGTTAAAAATTGCTTTTGAAGAACTACATAATGAGTCCTTTCTTCTTATGAAAAATCTTTCACAAGCTAAAAAGAACCTCGCTATTTTTGAAAGAAAAACTTGTTTCTCAAATCTGAAAATGATGCTTTGAAAAAGAATGTTACTGTTTTAGAAAAAGAAACTTTGTGTACTGATTGTCCTCTTTATATTTCAAAAAAGGAAGATTTGAAAAATATACTTATGGAATTTGTTTAAGGTAGAGATAACTTAAACAAAATTTTGAGTCAACAAAGAAGTGTTCTTGATAAAGCTGGTATAGGCTATAAACTAAATAAGAAGCAAAATATTATAATAACTTCTTTATTTTTGCCACGATGACTAAATTACCTAAATCCACTTATTCCTACTGGAATAAGAAAGGGCGCATGACTAAGTCATGTATCCATGGGAAGCAAGGGTTGAGCGAAAATATGAAGTGGGTTCCAAAGGGTCTACTAACCTACTAAGACCCAAACAGATTTGGGTACTTAAGAAAATATAATATTTGTGCAGGTATCAAGAAGAGTCACAAATAAAAAGTGGTATCTAGATATTTCACATGATTGGTGATAGCTCTTTGTTTCTATATATGATAGAAACTAAAGATTGTGGAACTATCACCTTTAAAAATAATGAAAAGGAAAGAATTCTCGGCATAGGTAAGGTTAGTAAGAATTCATCTAACTCTCCTTGTATTGATAATATTTATTTAATTGATGGCTTAGGACATAACTTCTTGAGCATAAGTCGATTATGTGATAAGGGTTATGAGGTTATTTTTTATGCTATGTGTTGCACTATGAGAGATGAACAAACAGAAAAAATCATCTTAGAAGGAAAGAGAGTTTAAAATGTATATTCAATTAATTTCTGTGATAATGATTCACTGAACATGAAATATCTCATCTTATTGAATGATGAGAGCTGGCTATGGTACAAGAGATTAGCTCATGTCAACATGAAGCAATTGGATAAGCTTGTAAAGAAGGAAGTTGTTATTAGGTTCCTAAAGATGATTCGAAGCTGACAAACTTTGTGATGTATGGGAAGTAAGCAAACTAAGACTGCATTTCAAAGCAAAAATGTAGTATCTACATCAAGACCTCTCAAATTGCTTTATATGGATCTAATCGATCCTTCAAGAGTAAAAAGTTTAGGGGGTAATCTCTATACCTTTGTTATAGTTAATAATTATTCTAAGTTCACATAGACTATCTTTATGTTTCACAAGGATCAAAGCTTTGAATATTTTGTGCATTTGTAGCCAAAGTGCAAAATAAAAAGGGTTTTAAAAATTGTAAAGATAAGAAGTGACCATAGTGAAGAATTTGACAATTTCAACTTCATTGAGTTTTGTGAAGAACAGGAAATTAGTCATGAATTTTAAGCTTCTAGAACACCTCAACAAAATAGAGTTGTACAGAGAAAGGATAGAATCTTGGAGGAAATGGCAAGGGCCATGTTGAATGAGAAGAAACTTCCTAAGTATTTGTAGTGGATGCCATGAGTATAGCATGTTACATCACAAACAGAGCATATATCTGACCTATTCTGAACAAAACTCTATATGAGCTCTACAAGGGAAAGAAAGCCTAACATCTTTCATTTGCATGTATTTGGCTATAAGTGTTTTGTACTCAATAATGGTATAGATAATCTAGATAAGTTTGATTATAAAAATGATGAAGCTGTATTTCTTAGTTAGTCCAATATAAGTAAAGCTTTTAGAGTCTTTAACAAAAGATCATTATCTATTGAAGAGTCAATTCATGTTATATTTGATGAATCCTTATTAGATGAGAATAAAGAAGAAGAAATTATAAATCTTCCTCTTGATGATCTCTCACTGAAAGAAAAGGAGGAAAATCAAACCAACAATGATACTATAGTAGAAAGGCAAATAATCTTCCAAAAGGTTCACTAGGAAAAGTACACCATTTTAATGCATTTCTTTTTAATATTGAACCCTTTGACATTAAAGATGTCTTATTTGATGAATATTGGCTCATAGAAATGCAAGAAGAGTTAAATCAGTTTGAGAGAAGTCAAGTTTAGGACCTAGTTCCTAGACCATGTGATCATCCTAGAATTGGGACAAAATGGGTCTTTAGAAACAATCTTGATGAATCTGGCATAGTAGTAAGGAATAAGGCCAGGCTAGTAGCTAAAGGTTATAATCAAGAAGAAGGTATTGATTATAATGAAACCTTTGCTCCTGTTGCTAGACTTGAGGCTATCAGACTTTTACTTGATTTTGGTTACATTAAAGATTTCAAACTTTATTAAATGAATGTTAAAATTGTATTTTTGAATGGACTAATCAATAAAGAAGTTTATTTAGAGCAACCTCCAGGATTTGAGGATCCATTAATGCCAAATCATGTCTACAAATTGAAGAAAGCATTATATGGACTAAAGCAAGCACCAAGAGCTTGATATGAAAAGTTAAGTACTTTTCTATTAAAGAATAACTTCAAAAGAAGAATGGTGGATAAAACATTGTTTTATCAAACTAAGGGTAGTGATATCCTTGTAGTTTAGATTTATGTTGATGATATTATTTTTGAAGTTATTAATGAGGTTCTTTGTGAGAAATTTGCTAAGATTATCAAGGTGAATTTTAAATGTCTATGATGGGAGAGCTGAACTTCTTTTTTAGATTGCAAATTGATAAATAGCAATGTTATATATATTTATCCTTTTAATTTAGACTTTTAAATATTTATTTGAGGCTAATTGAGTTTAATTAGATATTATTTGATTTTATTAGTCAATATTCAGTTTGAAATTTTAACTAACTAAATCTTTGATTTTAAAATATAAATAATATCTTTAATATTTTTACACAGGTGTTATTTAATTTTATTTTATTTGTGTAAATTTTCTAGATTCAATTTGGACGATATCGAGAGAGAATATTTTAGATGAGAAGAATATGAGCATGCTTGGAGATCAAATCAAAAATTAAATATTTAAAACTTTGTTTATATTAATTTGAGTTTTTTAGTGTAGTTTTTAATTAAGATCACTTAGAGTAGTTTTATCATTTTTATTATTAGTTTTTCTTTTGGCCGTACACAAATGGAACACCGTTTATAATTATATATAAAGAGAGCTACATAGGAGACAAAGAATGTAACATTCTAATTTAATTTTTTAGAGTCAATTAGAATTAATGAAAAATAGAAAGAATGTTTGATAAAGAAATTAATTAGAAGATCTCTTTTTGTTTAACATAGAATATAATTTTATGTTAAGATGTTTTTTTTTTAAAAAAGGGGGCTTGTTAACTTAATTATTAAGTTATAGCCAAAAAAAAAAAGAAAAAGAGAGAGATAAGAGGCGGTGGAAAGAGCATATAAAAGTGCTCTTTGCTTTCTCTCTTCCCATAGAAACGCACAAGAAAGAGAGAAAAGAGAAAGAGAGAGAGAGATAGAGAGAAGGAGAAGGAAAGGAGAAGGCAAGACATTTTGAGGTAAGATTTAATGCTCAAAACTATTTCTATTATCAAAACTCCTTTATAAATATTTTCCTACTCGTCTAGAGCTTTCTAATGATAGTAAAATTTTGATGAGTGGAGCAAATTCTAAAGTTTAAAACTTAGGGTAAGTATTCACTTTTAACAATGGAAACTATTAATTAGTAGAGATAAATTAGTACTTAAATTCTATTGGTTTAGATTTATTCTATTAATTGATTTGAGAGTTTAAAATTAAGTTTTTAACTATAAAATTTTGATCTTTGATGTATAGGATATCTATATAGATTAAATTATGTTTTTGGGATTTAGATAAGTTAATTTAAATTAATTTTGGATTTTTTTTACCAGAGGGATTTAAATTGGAAGGATATGATTGTAAATTTGAGAAGTTTAGTTAAATTTTATATTTAATTGATAAATTATAATATATATATATATATATATATATCTAATGGTATTTATATCATTCGATGTCGTAGATTAATCTATTATCGTGGTTAAGAAGTTCCCTACACGTCTGAGTTAGTTATATCTTGGAGAAGAGGTAACATTGGAATATCCTTTCATATATCGAGATACTGGTTTTTAGTATTATGTGTGTGTATATATATATATATATTAATACTTGTGTGATCTTATTGTGAAATATGACATTTTTTTTATGTGATGCAAAAGAGGTAATAAGGATGGCCAGTAATATAATTGGTTGTTTGGGATTAATGATTGAATATTATGCCACGTGGTTTGCCTCCACTACGCACGTAGTGGTTGGCTTTTTTCTTGTAGTTCTCAATATCTCTGACATTTTGGGACGATAGGCACCTTCTTTTTAAGGAAGGGAGTCCTATTCTGACGGCAATGTACCTTTGGCTGAGTATAACCTCAGTTTAGGCTCCAGCTAGTGGTAATAAGGGAGTTGAGAGCCATAAGGGTGAGGTTGGGAAATGTATCACTATTGTTTTAATTTGACACTGATTTAGAAATTGTTATAAAATTGTGAATATTACATTTCTTGTTTTATGTATTAATTGTGAAATTTATATGTATATCTATGGATATGGTTGTGAACTGATTTCAAGAAGTATGTTGGTATATGTTAAAATAACCAATTGTTACTAAGATTTTTAATCTCACATGTTACTTCTTATCATTTTTAGATGAGCAATCAAGTGGAGCTACAGGGAAGGCACCGAAGAAGTGAGCTTAGGCTCCCTTCTCTCAGCTTGGCACGTGGTTTTCTGTTTATTTTGTAATTATAATTGCCATGACCTAGGGACCTTTATAAATTTTATTTGGATAATTGTTATAGATTATTTGATTATAACTACTTAATCTTTTTATTTAAATTGGATAACTTTTAAATACGTCAATCTGGACCATGTTTTCTATTGGGCCAAGCCCATTTATTTTAGATTACACATATTGATAGTATAAGAAAAATGTATATGTTGAGCAGAGTTGATTATATTTATAAACTGTTGTTGAACCCTGAACTTGCTATAAATTATTTATTGGGCCCTATCTGCCCTAAGTCCAGTGGTGATTGTTAATTTTGATGTCGCTTTATTTAGACAGGTACATTTTTAAGAAAAATGTTTATTTATAAAAATAAAGGGGGGAGGTTTTTTTTTGTAAAAAATGGCAAAAATTAGGTTTGTTACAAAGAACATATACAAAAAAAGGACGATTTGGATAGAGAAGAGAAAAAGGGTGGCAGCGATCGTGATTCATCTTCTTCTTCAATTTCTCCAATAATGACTTGACAATTTCTCATCTTATGTTGTTTTATTTTTAGTTCTATGGAGAGCTAAATTTTTGGTGTGATCAATCATAAACTATAATCCTAAATTTTAATCAGAGTCTTTGATACTCAGAGAAGATTTTATTTTAACTTTATTTTAATTTGCTCATCTTCTCTCTACATTTAAATTTTATACTTTAATTGCTATTGCTGTTTAGAGTAGCTTTATTGTATAATTTTTAGGTTATAAATTTTATCTGAGGTTTTACTTGCTATAATCGATTGATATAATAACTTAAGAGTAATTTGGCCTAGCTTGGGTGATTATCCATGCTTTATTTCTGATGTGGCTAACTTAGAACAATCATTAGGTTGTAGGTTGAGAGAGATTTCAGTTAAATTATAACCTAATTTGTTGTTTAATTCTTGAATGATAATTTGAGAAATATATAATAAAATTAAAATAATAAAGTTGAATAAAATTAATTTATTTTGTGGATGAGGAAGATTAAATTTAGGTGATTGAGTTGTGATTGATTGCACTGCTTATTCTTAGTAATTTTTTGAGTTGAATTTCCTCTATTTATTTATTTCTAATTTATTTTTTAATTTCATCATAAAAAACCCCTCACTTTTTAGATTTTCATAATTATAATTCAAGTAGTTACTCTATTGACTCTTAGAGAGACGACCTAAGTTGCGTTTTACGCAAAATTTAGTTGTTATTAATTTTGATGCTATTTGACAGTAGTGTCGCAAATCAAGCAAATGAAGGATGAAATCTTCATAAGTCAAACCAAGTACACTCATGAATTATTGAAGAAGTTTGGATTTAAAAATTTAAATCTAAGCAACATACCTATGAGCAACATACCTATGAGAACATCAATCAAGATGGATAAAAATAAAAAAAGTAGAAAGAGGATCAATTAAAATTCAGGCAAATGATTGGATCATTGCTCTACTTGACTACCAGCAGACTTGATATCGTGTTCATTATCTATATGTGTGTAAGATTTCAAGCTGATTAAAGAAATCTCATCCAAAGGCTGTGTGTGAAAAGAATCTTTAAGTTTTGAATGGAACTATACAACTAGGAATTTAGTTTTCAAAAGGACGAAAGCTTGAATTGATCTCTTATTCAGATACTGATCATAGGGGATACAAGATAGATAGAAAAAAGCACAAGTAGAACTTATCAGTTCTTTGATGGCTCATTAATATCATGGTTCAGCAAGAAATAAAATAATGTGTCCTTGTCATCATGTGAAGCTGAATACTTGGCGGCTGGAAGCTATTGTGCACAAATTATGTGGTTAAAATAGCAACTGGATGATTTAGGAGTTCATGTTAAACAAATTCCAATTAGATGTGACAACACCAGCATTATAAATTAGCCAAGAATCCTGTTCAACACTCAAAAACCAAGCACATTGACATAAAAACATCATTTCTTAAGAGATCATATGCAAAAGAATATATCATATTGGAATTTGTGCCTACCACTGAGCAACTAGCAGATATTTTTGCCAAACCTCTAGCTTAAGAATAATTTACATTCATTAAAAGGGAATCAAAAATCAATAAACTATAAGATTCTAAATTTAATTGAATTAAATTTAATAGCACTTAGGATATCTTCACTTTAGAATTGTGCTAAATCATGCATGAATACATTAGTTCTACTTGCATGAAATAACACATAGTGAATTATTCCTCCTAAATAAGGATAAATCACACGTGATGAAGGAAGTCTCACTTACGTGAAATGTCTTTCCAAAAGCATTATATTCTGGCTTGGTCATTTCACTGTGAAGACCATTTATGACCACGCATGATTCTACCTGCATTAAATGTGCAATATTTGAACGTTATACTTACTGCCAGATCACGCATGAAACTACTTTGTCACAGGTGAGAAATAGCACTTAGCATTTATAAGTGCTAAATCACACGTGAAATCGTTTTCATCTCATGCATGATCCTGCACTATCTATATATACCTTCCTCATCTGACTTTCTTTTTCATGCGTGAACCAACATTTGTTTTTCTAGATGTTACTCAATCTTTCTTTCTTACCTGCCTTCCTGATTCTTCTCTGGTTGTTTTAGCACTCGAATTGGTTTATCTATCTCTTCTAATCTACTTCTCATCTATCACTTCACTCTAATTTTATCTCTTTCTTTAACCTAAATTTATCTCTTCTCTCAAAATCTCTGTGATGACAAGAATAAAGGAGACTAGAAAGAAAGTTGGTGAGAAATAACAAGGAAGAGGAAATTCACTGAAGCTCTGATTGGAGAAGGAAGTAAATTACCTTCTTGATCATCCAAGAGACTCAAAACTCCAAGAAAATCTAAGGAGCCTACTTCAACATCAAAGCCTGGAACAACTAATCAACAAGAAAAAGCTCTGATCAAAATTAGCTGAGAATTGTCTCAAGATGATAGCAATGTGCCTTTAAGTGAAGTTTCAGAGGCAAGTATCAGAGAAGGAAATCTTTTAAGCTCCAAGAATCATTTAAACTCAATTTGTACTTTTCCTTTGCTATAGTCCATAGTCAGTACACCAAATATGATTCTTTTATCAAAGTTCATAACTTTGATATAGATGAATATTTGAGTGACTATAAAGGCTTGCTGGAGCTTGATCTCTATTACTTAGCTAAAGTGGTGAAGGTTTTTTATGCTAGCTTCGGATAGGATAAACACAAGAAGATTTACAAGGCCAATATCTGAGGGTGTCCAATGTACTTCACTCTAAAAAGTTTAGGACACATACTTGGTCTTAAAGCAAAAGGTTTAGGGCTTCAAGAGTTTGATCTAGCTAATCAAAGGAATGCTCCTAGACAACACACAAATGAAGAAAAATACAAAGCAATCATGATGATAGAAGATGTGCCAGAAGAAGCTTTAAAGCTTGAATTCATCTTTAGACCAACTTTATTCCTATTTAAGCACTAGATACTAGCATATGTTGTGGCAAGGTTCTTTGTCAACAAAAGGACTGCTTTCAACACTAGCACAGAGTTCAAGACTAAGTTCCCAACTAGATTGATCAAGAAGTAAAGGATTAATATGTGTCACTACATATTGACCAAGATGCTGCATGCCTCTAAGGTTGACACTAAAAGGAAGAAGGAACAGAAAAAGGACAAAAATCTTTATTTTACATCTGTTGTTTATGCTATGCTTAAAAGATTTCATGTCAAATACAATGAAAGAGCAATACTGGAGCCAAACGAATTTAAAGATACTGCTCTCTATAGAAATAACATTCAAGCTGGAAAGGACAATTTTGTTCTAAAAGAGGAAGAAGAGCTCGCTAATCTTATTGTAACAAGAAAGAAAAGGAAGTTACTAAAGAAAGCTATTATTGGAACACTTGAAGCTACTGGAGCTTCTTTATCTAATCTCAATCCTTCCTCAAATGCTACTCTATTTGACATGTCAAATGCTTTTCTTTATAAATCCTTAATGAAATTAAAAGAAAGCTTGATCAAGTAGTGGTGCATCTAAAAAATGACATTCAGGGGCCTTGGTGACATGATGCTACATTTAAATGGCAAGTTAGATAGAATCATGGATCACCTTGGTGTTTTTTAAGGCATAAAGAGGGACTGTCAAATAAGAAGATAAGGCTAATCCTTCAAGATTTAGAGAAGGTTTGATTCATATAGTGGATTCCTCCTCAACCTCTAAAACCCACTATGACCTACCTCACTCTACTCTCAATTCCATATGCCCTACCAATTGACCTTTCCTCTCAAGAGCAAGAAAATCTTCTTTCTTAAAGAGACTAAGGATTATCCATCCATCTTCACTAAGAAAATCAACCTCTAGATTTAGCTCAACCTATTGATTCCCAGCCTGAATATCAAAGCCTATTTGTTCTTTTAATGGCATGCCACTCCCTCATATTCCCTCTCCACTAAAATCTTCAGACATAGCCAAAACTGCTGAAACACCATCTTTGAGGAGCTCTTTGAAGACATTAATAGTATGAGTGTTATCAAACTTGTTGGTAAACTCACTCAAAATATTGGAGAGCCTACTACAACCCTCATCTATGCTAATGCCCGTGCTTCACATGCCATCTCCTCTACTCAATATGTAACTAAAACTTTCAGAGGAAGAAATCCATTCCCAAACATAGACAAACCAAACCTTCCTTTCCCCAAACAGTTGAGGAACCCATCATTGAAAAACCTAAGGATCAAGGTCCTGAAGATCAGCCTCAATAACATTAAGCTCCTCTACCTCTTGAAGGATAAGTTGAAGATGTTGATCAAGAGTCGTCTCCATCCTCTCCTCAGGCTATTGATAGCTCAACTGAAGCATTAGATCCCATTCTACCTAATGGATCTAAACGATTCATCCACATAGGCAATGATTTTGTCAACTCCTACCTTCAACCCAAATTCTCTTTCTGATAGAGAATCCTAGAAGCCTATCTCAAATATCGTGTTTCCTCTCTCTTAGAAAGGCCTGTATATTTTTTATGATGCCAAAGTGGGAAATAAATATAGAGAGATAA